GTCTGTTTTTGCCTTGCTCCATTCTGACACACAAGGAGGTTGATGACACATGTGCATCTTGAACTAATCACAAAGCCTGTAATTTCTAAAAAATTTTTGCCGTTCCAGGGCAGGAGCATGGAATGCCTGTGGGCTTGGATCATTCTGATGTTGCTCACCTGTATTAAGCCTGGTTTTGAGTATGTTTGTGTAGGGGATGTGTCAGAGATTACAGCCTACAGTGCTTAGTTGGCAATCCAGAGCCAGAGGAAATGCCTGTACTGTCAGATATCAGCTACTTAGTCTTTGCTGGAAAATCTCTCTGTTTTTTTCAAGACCTTCTGTTCCTGCCACCCTCTCAGCTTCTGTAGACACAAGGGCATGCTTATGGTATGTGTAGGTTTTTGAGGTTTTCTCTTACCTACTGGGAATTTTCCATAGTTTATTTATTCTTCTGAAGGTTTGGTCATGAACCACATTGAAAACTGAACTGCCTTGTTTCTTGAAACGTATTAATTTTATAAACCACAAGCAAAATACAGTGAGGCAGCTGCATTGAGAGTTTTCTCATGTGACCCAGCACTAACCTTAGCTCTGCCCAGTCAGGCAAGCTGTGAGGGATGGCTCACTCTGCCCCAGCTGGGCTCCAGACAGCTAATGGTGAGGAATTACCAGTTGGGTAGGCAAGATTCTGGCAGCCACCAGACTTCTTTTTCTCTGGGGTCTGATGAGTTGACTTGTAATTCTTGAATAATCTTGATTGTCTAGGCTTTTTTTCATTATTCTAGTACACGTAACTTAAGTGAATTCTGCAGATGACTAGAGCAAGGGCATTTTATTTTTACTGGTTTTGTTCACTGCTTCCCACTATGGCCCCTTTTCCCAAGATCTTACCTTTATTGCACGTTTTTTTTCTTTTTCATCCAATCCAGATATGAACTGTCAAGTCACGATGACCAAATGGCAATAATTGAGATTCCATTTTATTGTCTCTGAGTAGCTGACATTTTGTTCTAACTCTTTTCCTACTTGCCAAGTAAAGCTAGTGTTTTGGTACCTGGCTGGGAGAGAGGAGTGTTAATTGACTTAGCAACTTTCCCATGACTGAAGAAAATGACTGTAACAAAAGCAGCCCTAGCATTACAGTATCCTGTGTTGTTGAATTTTATTGTTCCTCCTCATAATGCTTTGTAAGTGACAAGACCCAGAATGAGCGTCTCTCCAAACACAGCCTTCCTTCCTCAAAATCTTAAGTCCTCAGTCTTTTGCCTGATTTCTTCAACATTCTTAAACAATAACTGCTTTTAAATTACCTGAAAGGCTTGTGATACCCTCTGTTGGTGTCTGTTTCCTGTTTTCCCACATTTTGTTTCTTTCAAGGTTGTTTTTGCTTTTTTTATTCCAGCTGCACACAAAGAACCGTCCTACTCTTAAGTCATCATGACTGCACAAGAACATCTGTGTATTTTGTTTTATTCTTTTCTTTCTTTTCTTTAGTTTTTGCTTTTTCCCCAGAGAACAGAACAACTACCCTACTGTGTAAATGCCTCTCTAGTCTAGCCTAGTACTGATGCTCTCTGGTGAGTGATACTTCAAGTGGTATTATTGCTCCAGTGTTGCAACCTTCCTGAGCACCAGTTTGAGATTTCGTGAGCTGAAGGAGGCTTCTGGACCATTAAGCTTTAATAGCTGCCTGCAAACTATACTCCATGAGTTGTTGTAGTGCTGGTTTTAATCCACATGTTCTTTCAGCCTCCACGACAACCCATGGCAATAAGTTTTGCAACTTCACTGTGTGGAAAAAGTACTTCCTTTTGTTTATTTTTAAGCCTTCTGTCTGGTAATTTCATTGTGTGTGCCCCATAATTCTTATTTTGTGAGGAAATGTTCTTCACACCATTCATGATTTTGTAAGCTGTTTGTGGATGGATAACTTCTGTTTTTTGAGCTGGAGAGTACAGACCTGGGAGAGCTATGAGTGGTTAGAAGCCATCTGTTGTTCTTCTCCATGTGTTCTGGAGAGCACACACAATTCAAATTGCAGGTGCCCAGTGATCTACGTTGCTGTGTTCTCTCCAAGCAGCTGGTAATACTGCTTGCCTTTTTAACCATTACTGATGATGGGTGTGATAACAGAGGGCTACCCACAAGAAAAACCTTAAATTCTTCTATGTGTATATATTAGAATAGAGCCTGTCATTGTACATGTGTACAGTTACAGTACGCATATTTTTTGTTTGAATGAGTTCACACTTTTCATCATTCAAATTCATCTGTGATTTTTTAAAATTATTTTCTGTTTTGTTTGTGTAGTGGTTTGCAAACTCTCGATGTCCTCAAGTGTGGATTATGTTCTCTAGGATCACTTTCTATTTTCTGCATAGTCTTGAAGGAACTGCTTTTACTAAAACAGGAGTCATACTCTCTCTGGCCACATGCTCTGACTGTTTAAATTTCACATAGTTCTTCCCATATGGATGAGAGCTCGCTTGGAATCCATTCACCAGCAGCAGAAAATTGGCTGACTGCTATAAAGCCATTGAGTTACTATTTCATTTTAAGGAGCTTCCAGACTGCTTTAAGGAAGCACTGGAACACAGGAGTTTGTGTACACTTGGTGTACAATTGTTCTGTTAGATAGGAATGTTTTCAAGCTACATCTGCCATCCTAAAAGAATTACCAGTAGTCCTGCTGTAGCTCACTGGCAAAGTGTTTCTGCTGTGAATGTGATCCTATTAGTGTAAAGACCACTAGAAGGAAAGTGGTCTGTCCTTTACTTGTAGGAAAATCAAGCTGCACCTGCCTCTCCATAAAAACTTCCTGCTGGTGCTCACTGTTTTTTCCTCCTGCACTGACAGATACTCTGAGAAGGCTATTGTGTAAAGGTCCCTGTAATGTTCTTTCTGTTCACATCTTTCCTTTTTAAATTTAAAAAGTGGCATTTCCCTTACAATTTTAAGTATTTGTACTATTGCATGTGCAAAAAAAGCTTATTCTACACTTTGTCTGTAAGGTAAGCTAGGTGAATTTGGAGTAGGATTTGATTGCTTGAAAACAGGCATCTGGTCTATTTATGAGGTCTCTGAGAGATGTGGAGCTACCCACATCGAATTTACATGTTTCATGGGTACCTCCTGCCTCTCTGGAGCAGCATCAAGGGATGGTGGAAAAAACTAAGTCATCTCAAATGGCACTGTATGCATTACATTGAGGCAACCAAATTATGTGTTTTATGTGTTGCTTGATGTTGAGGGTTCCTGAAGCTTACACCATGTATTTCCAGCTGATGCTGGGATAGAATTTGTGACTTGAATTTTACTGTTTGTGTTGTAGCACTCTGCAATATCAGATATGTGCTTAATCTAAATGGCTAGGAGGCTTCTAAATTCTGTCTCTGTAGATGGTAAACTTGTAGTGAAATAAAAAGAAGTGTAGAAATAAAAGCAGCAAATGGCCTGTGCAATCCAGGCTTTTCCTAACTTTCTCTGTGGTTTTGATCTATGATTCCACTTGCATATCCAGAAAACAGAACATAATTTTCTACTAGTGTTAATGAATTAGCAGTGAGGAGTTGACTAGGTTAGGGCTGTGCCATTGAGAAGCTTGTGAGTCAGTGCATTATTGGGGGCTGTCTGTATTGAAAGACAGCCACCTAGCCTTCATTCTCAGGGCCCATGGGCAGGACAATTCAGCTTTGAATGTAATGTATCATTTCAGCTGCCAGTGTGTGCCCCGTAGTGCGATCTTCGGTCTTCTTCTGTTTGTAGTGCTGTGTGAACCTATCTAGATTGGACCTTCTCTGGTACAAAAATTATTCCTGTAGTGATGCAGAATATTACTTTTTTCTCCCTTTATGGAGAGTAAGTAAAAATAGAACTGTAGTTAAACTGTATTTAAAGTCTACATTATATGTTACCAAATAACTTGCCTTGTGGATGAATTTGTGGAGCACTGTCTGTTACTGAATTTTTCTCTATTGCTCATCATAATATTCTTTTGCATTGAGCTTGCTGTCACTGAAAACAATAAAATGGCTATTATTTTGCATGGGATGTTATGACACCCAGAATATTGCATGATATTTCACAGTGCAATGATAACAATACTCACTTGCCCAAAAAGCTTCATGGTTTGCCTTCACTGAAATTTTCCAGTTAAAATTGTGCAAATACATTAGCCCAGCAGGTTACCTTTTGGAAGCAGAATGAGGGAGAGTCTTGGAAACTGGCTTATCTGTCTTTGTTTCCAGCTGGTGCTGTATTCTTCAGTAGGTTTTAACTTCTGAAACGTGCAGCATTTTTTCACTTTTTGGGGGTAGTTGTGTTGGGTTTTTTCTTCTTATTATTATTTTTTTCTTCCCCAAAGAGATATCGAAATGAGACTGCAAAAGTGCAACTTTCCCACCATTGTGTGCAGCAAACCCCAGTTTATTCCGTTTTGTCCCTCCAATGTGTCTGTTACTACTTGAGTGCAGAGCTGCTGAACATACAGAAGGATAGCTGTGTTATATTGTTTCCTGGTCTGTAATTAACACAACTTTACAAATAAGCTCATGCCAAATTTTGTAAAAGCACTGAGGTCTTCATGAATGTTATTCTGAGAAATTACTTAGCTGCTTCTGGGATCTATCTGTATGGGGTTTTTTTATATTTCTGTTACAGAATAAATTCTGGTTATGTGTTTTGGTGAATAAGTTGTCACAGAATTTTAAAGTGCTGACAGCTCTCATCTTGACAGCAGACTCCTTCTTCATGAACCTTAAATTGCTGTGTTTGCATAATAAGAATCTTTTGAGTTAAGGTTTCTCAGTAATTTAATAGTATTTTTGACCCTTACTAAAGTTAATATTTAAGAACAAAATGTGTTCTCAAATTTAAGTATAAATTAAATGTTTCTGCTTAGTGACATTTCAATTCCTTAGTGTAAAGTATTATGAAAAAAAATCCTATGAAATTTGTTTTTTCACTTCAGTCTCTTTCCATTTAATTAATTTATTTGTCTTCATTTTCTTCTTTTCTAGAGTTTTGGAGTGCCAAGGGCTGCCCATTGTGAACGGGCAATGTGATCCCTATGCCACCGTTACCTTAGCAGGACCCTCCAGGCAAGTATTGCACAGACAAGAGCTTCCATTTTATAAGGGTGATTTCTGTTTCCTTTGTCTATTAGAAATTTACTTTCTCTGCTGGACATCTGGGAGTATTTAGACACTGCTAGAATACATTAAGTGTTGAGGTGGGTGTGTGTATGAGCTACTGAATTATGCTAGAGCAAGTAATTTGAGACTTGTTTCAGTTTTGATTTATGTAAAGATCTGAATAATCTCTGAATAATTTGAATATCCCAGAGTACATAATTTGTGGTTAGTCTTAATTTATGCATCTTCTCACCTCACAGTTGGAGGCCAGTTTTTGAGCAAATTCATTGGCTAATTTTGGGCAGGGTGGAAGAGAAATGTGAATGCATCAACATCTTGCCGAGTATGCACGCTTGCATGTGAATATTTAGTGTCTTCACTTTCAAGGTGTGACAAATTAATGTGTATGTCAAAAAACCCTCAATGGCTCAGTCCTGTAATTTGATATGTGCAGACATAATAGCATGGATAAAACTTGGAATGAGGTTTTAGTGTTGAGATTCTGCATAATACTCTTCAGTTTAAATTTGGGATTCAATTTTCCCATCTGTTATAAAAATTTCCTGTGCTCTTGGATGTCACTGGGTTTTTTTCTGCTTATCTAGTCATCTTTTATGTGTGTGTCATTTTAGAAACAAAATAGCTCTGCTGTGACCTCAAAGAATCAGATTTGGTAGCATGGGTTATTAATAATGTTTCACAACAATTTATTGAAAATACTATAAATAAGGAGCATTCTTGATAAATACTTACTTTGCATGCAGAGGAGTCTTTGAGCCTGTCTGTATTCTGTATCTTTGTCTAGGTGTGTTGTGCCTTCTCTTTTAATTGACTTGTATATTTGACTTGTACACTTTGTTTTAAGCCTGTAATTTGTTTGAAATGGCTATTATTGAAACTGTAAGGAGATTGATTGACCAACCCTTGAATGTCCAAATTTACCTTTGTCTGCTTCCCTATGCCTACCATTCTGGATAATGTATGGCTATTGATAATGTTCTCTTCAGAATAAGGAGCATAACCTTATCCTATTCCTATCTGGGTTTTGGTGGGGGGGAGAAGGGAGAAGGCTTGCCTCCTATCTCCAGCAAGCAGCATGCAGCTTATTCCCATTCACTGCTTTGTAATTGCTCAATAATTGTGCTGCCTTAATCGCCTCCCGTTCTACATCCTGCTTCCCAGTCCCCTCCCAGATGGGTTTATCAGTAAAGAGGCTGATTGGCAAGTGTGACTGATGAGATGGGGTTGGCAATCTGTCCTGTGTCCTGGAGGAGATTAGTCTCTCTTATCTCTCAGCTTCTCCTAGGAATAGTGGGATATTCTTAATCTGTACATCATTCTCCTCTCTGGATTTTCTAATGCCTCTCATTTTAGAGTAGGAAAGCTTTATTCAGCTGCAGTTATGCAATGACAAGCATAAAAATTTCAACAAACATGCTGCTGTCTATTGTACTTAGAGTCATCAGACTTCCTGACCAAAACTCTTTCTGTGCCTGTATTATAGATGGAAAAATATTGTGTACTGATGGACAGGCCCATTCAACTCACATGAGAAGTCTGGAGCAGCACTGGGAATTAGATCCAGCTTTACTTGACCTCTGTGAAATACACAGAGTTGTCCAATGAATAAGCAGTTACAAGCCATCTAAGCAGCTTTGGTGCATGAGAAATGAACGATAGATTCTGGGATGAAATTATTAGTAGGTCAGTTTTCCACATGGCTGATGTGCCTCTCCGTCTGCATCTGTTTTATCTATGCCTGCAGAGCTGTAGGGTAAGATTGGTGACACAGGACAGCACACAGCTTTTCTCTTGTAGGTAGTGAGAACAAATCAAGCATAGGTTCATAACATTTGGAAGCCATCAAACAGCTGTTGGCTGGCCTGTGAGAAATGCATTGGCTGGCTTGAGCCCAGCAGCAAGCAGTCAATGTCTGTGTTCTCAAAGGCAGGCACAGCGGATGGCACAGCCCGCAGGGGATGAATGGGCAGTGCTGAGCTTGGTCAGGCCTGCTGGGTGGCTGGGAGGAGGTCTGACACGTCTTGAGCCTACAGAACAGTAGAAATAGAGACTTCTGCTCAGCACTGGTCATGATAATTCACCACCATATTAATTAAGTGCTGCTGGTGATGCAGGGAAAGGGATGCTAGTACAGCAGTAAAAAATATTCTTACTGAAGAAGCCATTCTGGATTTTTTGATTGTCAGTGAAAAGCAGTGATTGATTTTTCAGACAAGAATTATAAAATATGAATCACAGAAATAGCTATGTCAGTCTTGGTCTCCTGTGTTTTTAGAGTATGAGGAATTTTTGAGTCATGTCAAGACTGTGACCATCCTCCAAATGTTGCTGCTCAGAGCCCCATTCTTGCCAGTTTGTACGGATAAAAGATTCTAGTATGTCAAGCAAGTGATAGAATAAGGGTTCAAGGAATTGTGTTTAAAATGGGATAACAAAATGTGATTACTGCCACTTCAGAGAAATAGGAATGCATTGAATCTCTCTCTTAAATGTGTGCAAGTGTCTGTGCCTTGCTGTACTGGAGCCACATGGCATTCCAGTTTTATCAGATAAATCAAGTGGATGGCTATTTCCTCCTCAGTGGCTCTGTTCTAGGATCACACTTCTACTAATGTTGTTTCTTACCCTTTTTTTTGTTTATTTTGTTTCCTTAATTCAGATCAGAAGCCAAAAAGACTAAAGTTAAAAAGAAGACCAACAATCCACATTTTGATGAAGTGTTTTATTTTGAGGTTGGTATTTCAAAGGAACGGGTGATAAGCTGAAATACTATACTGTGGATAGTTGGCACAGCATCCTGCTCCCTGTTGTGCCAGCTGTCATCTTTGAAGGCTGTTTCAAAGCATGGTGCAGGGGAAAGAAGTACCCGGGCTCAGACTGGCCATCTGCTGAAGGAGCAGTATCCTGCTTTCACCTCAGGTGCTCTGTAGGAAAAGCTCCAAGTTGGGCACTTCTGAGCAACAGGCTTTACATTTAATCACAACTCACCTCACTAGAGTTTTGAAAAAAGCACATTTGAAAATCAGTTTTAAAAGCCCAAACAAACCACGCACACAGAGAAATTATATTTTTTTCTTAGTCTCTGTTTTTATAACTGCTCCATCCTATCTGTCTCAGTCAATGGGAGGAAGGTTATCTCCTTAGGAATGCTGAAAACTGCAGAGGAAAAATACACTTAAACTGGTTGTTCTGGCTGTCTACCAGTCTGCTGCAATACCAGTGACTTTTCTCCAAGTGGGTGAAACCTCTATAGCTTTATTTAATACAGAGCACTTTCAACAAGTCCAGTTAAGATAAAGTATAACTTATATCAAAGTCCTCATTTTGGTTCTTTCTGGCAAGAGTAGCTGTAATTGTGGTGTATCCATACATATATATGCATGTGTTTATAATTTAGATCTCTCTTGAAACTTTTCATTTTGTCTTCTAAAGTATGTGAATCATTCTCTTTTTCTCTTAGATATCATAGTCCTTGTCTATGCTTGACTGTTCTATTTCAGTAGACACCTCAAGAAAGTATCTGTTATTATGAAGCTGAGGAAAACCAGCTAGAGTAGCACAGTGCAGTTGGCATAGATTGAAAAGCCCTTTCTACTCATATGGCTTGCCTCATTCGGGTCACATTTGCATTAGAAGTTGTTGCTGGCATAGGGATGGCACCTAGGGATGTGGTTTCCTGAATCAATTCTGGGCTACAGCCACATCAGGAAGGGAAGGGGAGCTGGGGAGAGGGAAGCCATACAAGTGCTGTTGCACTGTGCAGATCTGAAGTGCACGTGTCATTCTTGACATTGCTGTCTTCCCTCTTCTACAAAACACCATCTTTGCCTAGAAGCCAATAGGTTCTACTGACTAATCTAAAGTCTGTCATACCAACAGAAACATGCTCTTGGTGATGTAATGTGTTTGGATACAAGGAACAGATTTAGCAAGTTTCTGATTGGCAGGAGCACTTTCTGTAGTGCCTGAAGGGCTGGAAGCCATGAGTTTAGGCCAGGATAGCTATCTAAGGTGATCTTTGCTCTGCTAGCCCAGCACCTCTCGTCCTAGGATACAGCTGCCCTGCTCACAGTGAGCTTTTGTGCCTGCTTCCTGGCTCCATGAGACTCTGTGGAGTTGCTACATGGGCACAGTTAGAGGGCAGTGATACAAGAGTGATGCTATATGTAAATAAATTAAAATGGGCTTCCTTATTTTAACATAGGCAGTTCTGGAGGAGCTTGTCAGTGAGAACTTTTTTTATGAGAATGTAGTCCAGAAATGCAGACTGTAAGCCACAAAAACTTCACCTGATTCCTCGGCCTTCTGTTTGCTGCAGAAACAGCAAATGTTTGGTATATAAACATTGAACTTGGCAGGTGATGCTGTACTGGGAGAGGAAGGAGAGAAACAAAGCATCTTCCAGCTGGAGTTAGGAGGGAGGGAGCTGGGGGCTTGCTTAGCTTGCCTTTATGCAAGAGCTGGGTTGCATGCAAGTACCAGCAAAAGCAAAATCTGAACTCAAGCCCATGCCCCAGTTGTTCTGCTAAGTCAGAGCAAGATGAATTCTGTGTTGGTAAGAAGAGAGCTTGGGAAATGACTGTATCAGACAGAGCTCTGAAATACAAACATACCCTTAGTGCAGACAGAGCCGTCATAGATTTATGTCATTTTGAGAGTAGTTACTACAAAGCAGGCTAAACGTCTTCAAGGAGCAAGGTTCTGTAGAACTGCTGTGACTGGGAAATACATTCACTAATGAGACGGGGGCAGACTTGTGGCTGGTGCATGCAAACGAAGTGCTCCGATTCCTGTGGAGCTGAGAGATTCATGCTGCTGACAGCCGTGTCACTTTCTGCTTCTAAACAGCTTCAATAGCTTTTCTGCAGCCTGCTAGCACACTGATTGTCCAAGCCTCCAAGGAGGAAGCTCATTCGTGAAAGACAGTGAATTGGTACTTTCCTTTCTACAACCAAAAAGTCACACAGATTTAATTTTCTACATGAAAGATAGCTTATTGTTGGTTTGGGAAAAAGAAGGGCTTATTTAAGGGGTATGGTGAGTGAAACTTGCACCTGATAAGAGCCATTTTCACCACTGCTTCAGCTGCAGCTGATGTGGAGCTGTGTGTGCAGCTACAGGAAAATGGCCCTCTTAGAGGAATTCAAGAGGGAAGTGGTGGGGACTTGTTTGTAAACTTGCATGTGCTGAAAAAACCAGAGCAGCTGATAATGGCTTTCCAGCTTTCACAGGTGAAAGGGACCAACACATCAGAGTTGTGCCCCCTTTTTTAACAGTGTCATGGGTCAGCTACCTTAGCACTGTGGGCTGGGAGGTTCCTCATCTCCAGTTCCATACGGCTTTTGGAATACCACTCTTGAGTTGTATTGGTGTGCATACTAAGTAGCCATATGGGTGAACAGAGAGATGTCATACATGCAGATTCCAGCTAACCTTCTGAGAAAGTGTTTGCTTAGAAGGGATATGCCAGAAGTTACACCTATGCTACAGCTTTTTGGAACAACTCCTGTGTTAGACATAGTAAGAGACTTAAAAGTTGGCTTCATTATTAAAAATTACACCATTAGCTTCACAATGGTAGTAGAAACTGTCATTTGCAAGCCTGTAGAATACTTTGTGGGAACAGTGAAGTGTTTGCAAGGCTAGGGTGAGGAAATTTGTGTTTAACTACTAAAGTTGCAGACTGTATTTAAATCCACTGTGCTCTTGAGCTTACCAGGTGCATTTGATTCCATTAGAATGGAGCATTTGCTCTCAAGTGCTGCTAGTAGTACCTTTTAGCTTTTGTGTATCACTTTGAAAATGATGCCTGCGTCACACAAACACAAAAGGCTCTGAGTGTCCTCTGCCAGAGATTGTTTTTTGATTCCTCTCCACTTAGGCAACTGTATCATTGCCTCCCTTAATTGCCATTTGTGTCTCAGGTACAGAACAAAACCAAATAGTCAAGTTTACAATAAAAGCCAGTTTTTGCGGGTGGAGAATATTAAGCCACGAGCATATTCAAACGTACAATAAAGTTCAGCTTCTGTGTGCAACCAAGAGCTGAAGCCACACATCATTATACACCCTTGTGTTTGATCAGTTCCTGCTGTGGTTTCAGCTGGGTGGGGTAGCCTTTTTCTTAAGTTTCTGACACACTGTGCAAAAATACAACCACCAAAGTGTTTTTACAATCATGGCAGAAAACAAATTTTAAGAAATGTTTGTACAAAATCTTTTTATGCTAATGCTCTATACTTATTTTCTTTTTCATTTTTTCTTTGCCTGTGCTTTCTTTCTTGTTAATCAGTCTTGCAAATATGGTTGCAAGCTGCTTCTGATATGCATAACACAGGCTAGGGTCTCTTAGTCTGCTTGGTATTTGTTGTATGTGCAAGTTAAATTGATTTCCAGGATATCAGGACAGGAAGAACTTCCCAATGTTATTTGGTTATACTGCAAAATGTTTTTAAGGGTGGTTGTGGTTCCTCCCCCATGCTCTACAGAGTGCCTCAGGGCATCTGTTGTACAGCTGTATTTCAAATACAAATAATTAATTGCCCCTTTCTTTCCCTAGATGGATTATGAAAGTGGTGCTCCTTTCAATGGTGTTTTTCTATTGTCGATGTAAACTTAAAGTGCTGTAGTAATATTAAAGATGGTCTTTCTCAGTAAAAAAAGTATGGAGTAATTGCTTATTTTTGGAAATGATGGTGTAACCACCACTTTATAGTCAGTAATCTGTTTAGTCAACATGTTTATTCACTTGCATGAATGTTTTCAGTATCAGGACTGAAAGTCACTGCTGATAGTAAAATACTGTGCTCTTCCAAAGCTTTGTAAAAGTTGTATCAGAATTTTTTTTGTATCAGATCAAGCTGCTAAAAGTTTCCTCCTTTTTATTAGGTTACAAGACCCAGTAGCTACAACAAGAAGTCCCATTTTGACATTGAAGATGTAGATGAAGTGGACAAAATGGAGATTAGGTAATATAAAATGTATTATTAGCACGAAAATGTCTTCCAGAGTTGTGTGACTTTGTAGTAGACTGTTTGCAAAGTGGCAAGCATGGTTTTTCTGTTGATAAATTGAGTTTTTGTCACTGTATCTGTATGTTTATTTACCTCCACTGTCCTGTTGATTCTATTTTGAATATGTGTGTTGGTTCTGATTCAGGACAGATCCTTATTATTTTCCTTTGTTTCTCATGTGCACTGTGTGTACACTAATACACAGTTGCCATTAAGCACGGCCTTTTATTCCATGTGCTCTCCTTTCCTCCCTCCTTCAGTTTCCCAGGACAGCCTAGAGGCTCTGTGATGCTCTAAGTTAGAGTATGTTCTCTTTTATCACTTAATTTTAGCAACCTGTATAAGGTCCTTCTTCCCTGACAGGAGACTCTTGAACTCCGTGTTTTTCTGGGGCAGAGACAGTTTCTCTTCTCTTTTGCCTTCCAACTTTAACCCTTTATTGCAAGATTTGGTATGATAAAAGTGAAATCAGCTGCACAGGAAAAAAGCAATTCTGATTTCAAAACCAAAACAGTCCCACCCCACCATGTGCCACCCTTTTAGCACTATTTTAAAACCTGCTGAGGCAAGGCAACAGTGTCTGTGGGGACAGGTGAATATAAAGAGAGCTGAGAAGACAATAGGGGGTGCAAAACTTGAAAGTGTCACATATGTATTAACATCACATACTATTGGAACTTGGAGGCTTGGGCCATCTGTATGCACAGGAAGTGAATGCTGCTATTTCTGCATCAGGTGGTGAGAAATTCCCCTCTCCTTTATGTTAGTATTTGCAGGAAGAATGGTAGCACTGCCTCCCTCTCCATATATTCTCACTAGAGAGGCAGTGAGGCATCTCCCGGAATGTTCCATAGTTCCTTCAGAATCACAACTGGTTATAAGGAAAGGAGAGGAGACCAGGAAAGGGGAGCAATAATTTCTCCCAGCAAGCAAAACACATCTCTGTTCATGAATGGATTGAGGGCTGTTCTGATGTGACAGCTGCTGGTTCATGTAGCCTGTAAATGTAGTGTCCCAGCACTACAAGAGCATTAATAGATTTGTGTTTGCAATGGCTCTGAGGCAGGAAAGGGAAACTATTCATATGTGAGAGAGGCAAGAGCTGTGCTCTTTCACAGACAGCATTTGCGTCAGGCACTGCAAAGGTGGCTGCTCTAGGGGCAACCCACAGCTGACTCACTGGGGTAAAAGCAAAGGCCCAGGTGCAGTTGCAGCTGAGCTGCTTTGGTGGTGTCAGTGTTGCAGCACAGCAGGTCACCTAGCACTAGACTATACTTCTGCAATGCTTTGCATTGTGCAGGCAGATAGGAAGTAACATGCCCCATATTCCATGAGATGTATGTGATGAACTGGGTAACTACACCATGTCTCAGAAGGCTCAGTCTTGTCTCTCTAACCATGATGCTCAGCCATGCTCTGATTTTTAAATGAAAGCTAGAATTCTCTGATAGATTTTTTTTTTTATAGTTTTGAAGGAGATGCTAGACATTGGTGTACAGTGGTTACATATCACTTAATATTTCAGTGATTCTTATTTTATATTATTGGACTAAATGAAATTATACAGTTGTTTTACTTCCTAAGTATATTTTCTGAACAAATTACTTTTCTGTAGCAATAATGTATGTGGAGCTGAGCTTCAGAAAAGTCTATCATTCCTGAAAACCAATATATCCAAGTGTGGTACAGATGAATAATTTGAGAGGAGGCTTGCAAAATAGTTGGGAAAAAAATAAGCACTTAAATAACAGGAAAAAGCAGATAAAGTATTAGTCTTGGTCAGGCAAATTCTCCTTAGAGCTTTTGTCCCCTATGGGACAGTGTGTTTTTGTTTCCAACTTGGGCCCCCCTTCCACCCCCGCTCACTTCCTCCACTCTGTTTAGTGAGAGTTAGATTGCCCCCAAGACCTCTGGACAGATCATACAATTTATGGGTTTGGGGATTTATTTTCTTTTTCTCTCCTGAGAAAAAAATAAAATTCCACAGGGTAAAGAGGAGACTTAGTCTCTCATGATTTCTCTCTAAAGCTATGAAAAGTTTTCTCTTTTTGAGTGGGTGTAGGAAGTTGTAGGCAGGGCATATCAACACTTGGGGACCAGATGTTCTGGTGAATTCATTGTTTCTCCTCCCCCTCTCTCCTGTTTGTTTCTTTCTGTGACTACAATCTGACCAGTTTCAGAATAACACTTGCCATAATTTTGCCTTTTAAAAATCTTGAGAAACAGTGATCTTTTAGACTCTGAGATCTGCATATTAACATTTTTAATAAGTGCTGTTTATTCTCTGCAAAAACCAATAACTGCAGAATTTGCATGCCTGCTTTGCTTAGTGTGTAGTGTGAGATCTACTTTGAATTGTTAGTTCCTCTTGTACAGATCCCTTGCACTGATTTTTTTTTTTTTTTTTTCTGTACCTGTGGGGAAACCATTTAGCTGTCTGTTTGAAAGTGTTATTCCTAGTTAGCATCTCGAAAGAGTTTGGATAAACTAGAAACCAGTAGCCTCTAAGTACTTCGTAAATTTTAAGTTTGACTATGTAAATACACTTAGATTCCTCTCCTCCTCAAGCTGCTTTTACCTGTCTGAACTGGTTAGCAAGATGATAGCCCATGAGAGAAGGTTGAATTTTCAAAGAAGTTTTTTTCCTTTTGGAGAGTTATTGCCCTGCAGAAATACTGTCCAAATGATCAGAGTCCGAAAAACTTTACCTAGCAGGCATGCAGTGTGGGCTGATGATGTGTCTAGTGTGTGACAGCTGATGCAGGAGACACTGTTGAGAGATACAAGGCTCAGACGATTTAAAAGTAATGTATTCTGTGCTTGCATAAGATAGGATAAACCTTTAACAGGACTGTCAATATCTGTTCCTTGGCCAGTCTACTGTGACTTGCTTGACCAGGAGGATTGTGTAAATATGTCCACAACTGGATGACTTGGCACCTTATCCAAATTAAAGTTGCTCTTCCAAAAAATTGTCGTTAGTTGCAAACCTGTATTTCTTTCCATGTTCTGTTTTCCCCTCCAAAAGTTTAAGGCACATTTAAGCTGTCACTTAGCTGCAAAATAGTCAGCTGTTGTTGTTTTTTAATAAAAATAGCTCTTAGAGAAAACCTTAAAATACATACAGAAACAAATACTCTGGAGTTTGAAACCCTTGCCTCAAGGTGGGTATGGCAGCATTTACCTACATGCTGGGTTGGACACCAGTACTTCAGCTTTGAATCTCAGTAAAGTTGTTTTCCATGCAGATGTTGAAGAGCATATGAAAGGGAAGAATGGATCATCTATGGATAGGTACCAGAACTTCCCAAATGTGAGGGACTGAGTACCAAAATTTGTGTAATCTTCAGTCATTACACAGATTCTACCGAATGGTAGAGCTATCCTATGGCTTTGAATATCTCTACAGAACTAGTTTAGGTGCTCTAAGTGTGTGTGCTTGACACAGGAGTCTTCCTAGGAGCTAGAAACTGGGAAAAATTGTATAGAACTAATTCTGTAAAGCTGCCACTTACCTGTTAGTAATCCCAAATTAGACAAGGACTGATAGTATGTAGTCCTTAAATAACTTTGTGCTTTTTCCTCTGGTGTCCATTTTACCTGTATTTTTCCATTATCTGGGATAGCAAGACAGCCATCTGAATCTTTATCAATATGGACAGTGGAAACAGTACAGATGAGAAAAAGTCAGTCTGAATGATATTTTTTGCTAATGTTTTATGGAGGTTAATTGTAAGGTTTCAGAAGTCTAAGGTAAGGTTATCTCTTTACTGTTTGGAAACCATTGCTGTACAGTTTCAAGTAACTCATAGACTTGAGGGGAAAAACCTCAATTTGGAAAAAATGTTGGAATTTTTTATTATTATTATTAAAATTTTAGTAGTATTTTACATTGTTTGTTTTTATTACAGGGTTGATCTTTGGAATGCCAGTAACTTGAAGTTTGGTGATGAGTTTCTAGGAGAACTGAGACTCCCTTTGAAATTTCTCCGACAGTCTAGTTCTTACGAAGCATGGTATTTGACATTTTTCTTTTGGAGAATAAGTAGAAACATATGTCTACTCTGAAGACTTAAGAGTAATTACTGCTATGTGATAAAGTTTAAATGGATTTAATTTGTATCTTTTTTGTAAGCAAGCCAAAGTAATCTTAGCAAGTGTAAGAACAAGAAGTTTTGATAATGTGATTAGAGGTTTCAGTCTGCCTCTCTGTAGCATGTGGGAGTTCTAGTATGTTGTTTTTATATTATTTACTGCAGTTCATCAGCAGTGCTATGGTTTTAGTGTGTGGGTTTTTTATCATATCTACATAAATCTTTATGTTCAGAACTTCCCATGTTGCAGTTGGTGCAAAACAGACTGGCAAACTTAATTAAGTCTGATTCAGATCAGAGTTTGATACATATATAAATACTCTGTGTATCTGTAGTTTCTCTATGCTCATGTATAGCCTGAGAAAATCTTGTGTTTCAGCACTAAGTTTCTGTCCTATTTTTTGCATATCAGGTATTTTCTGCAGCCTAGAGATAATGGTAACAAGTCATTGAAACCTGATGACCTCGGTTCCTTAAGGTTAAATGTGGTTTACACTGAGGACCATGTTTTTTCCTCAGACTATTACAGTCCGCTGAGAGATGTCCTGCTAAAATCTGCAGATGTTGAGGTAATTTGCTTGTGTTGTTTGTTGTTTTCTTGCAGATCATCTTCACGGGGGTCTCTGAATATCTGTCATTATCTTTCTGGCACATAGTTGTGTAATTACCAGAGAGGTCAGCGCTTCCTTTTCAGACCTCAGAGCCTTGTTAAGCTCTGCATATGCCTTGTGCTCGTTTTCAGTCCTTGGAGAGATCTTTATTTGCATTCTGTATGATAGTTGAAGGTGGACCCAGGAACACAGTGGTTTTAGCAGCAACACATTCTCTGTGTTTTTTTAATTTTACATTTTAAAATGCCAAGTAAGCTTCAGTTTGATCAATTCTTTTCTTTTACTGGACAGAACAGTTTTGTTTGCATAATTGAGAAAAGCCCAAACCAAGAACTAATTCTGAAACAACAGCGATTTGGACCATATGTGCACAACTTTTTACAGTTATAATGGTGCTTTTGTTTTTCTTAAGTAAAAGAACTGGGTTCTGTACTCACTGGGACTTGAAATTGCAAAGAATTAGATAGAGTTCTTTTCTTCACTTGCTTCCCAGGCAAGTGACATTTACTGAAAAGACAGCCATTAAAAATGTGGGGGATAAAAAGAGACTGTACTGTAATAATTTTTAAGCTGCTGCCCTCTTGTGCTCAGAATTTACAGCCCACAAAAACTGGGATGTAATGTCCACCCACGTTATATACAGATATTTGGATAACTGGCCATTGCAACCACTGTGGGGGGTTCTGCATTAAGAAGCTAATGGGAATAGAAAGAAAGAATGGTTGTTCTGGAAGGATTTCTCAAAGTTTTTGTTTTCCACTGTTCAGCCTGTTTCAGCATCAGCTGCACATATTTTGGGTGAAGTTTGCAGAGAAAAACAGGAAGCGGCCATACCTCTGGTCAGGCTTTTCTTACACTATGGCAGAATTGTGCCTTTCATAAGTGCCATCGCAAATGCTGAAGTGAAGAGAACTCAGTAAGTACCAAAAAAAACAAACTGCTATCAAAAATACCTAAACTGCATTGGCTAGTGCTAGAATCCTCCACTCAGTTTCTAGAAATATGCAATTTCAGAAGAAAATGTCAGGGTGATTCCTGTTCTTCCTAGCTGAGTGGCAGAGTTCTTTCTAAATTCTTTCACTGCTCTCAAGATCTGGTTAATTTGATCTTTAGGAGGAGTTCCCATCATTTGTTGTGAAAATTATTTGCAAGACTAATCTAACATGTGAGAGCAGGGATTTTTACTCAGTCTTAAGTATATATGATAACTGAAATTCTACATTACCTTCAGCTGTTCATATGAAATCATTTTAGCTTTATTGTGTGCTAATAAATCTTTCAGTGCCAAGTAAGTGTTGAATTTGTTGAAAACAACAAGCAACCTTCTTCCTAATCATGAATATTTAATGCAAGCTGTGTGTCTAATCGTCCCAGTTAGAGGCAGAGGATTAAGGATGGGATTGAATTTGGCATGGGATGGCAAAAAAATGAAGAAAATGAAGTTGGGTTTTCTTGGCTACTTCTTTTGAGTTCCTTGTTTGACTTACTGGCAGGGTGATAGTTCAATAGTGTAAGATCTAGTGTTCATGCCAAGCAGGTCCTAAAAAATATTTGTTGCCTTGTGCCTGTCCAGTCATGCTCTTGACTAACAGTAGAAGAGAAAATTGGGAGTGAAGGGGAATGACAGATACTGACTGTAAACTTCCTTAGTACAAAATAAAGTCTTTGTGTGGGTTGGCTCTTTTCAGAGTGTCTGGGGGATCAAGTGTTTTCCTTCCTGTAGGTAGGTGTATTTTTTCTGAGCTGCAGGTTGGCTGAAACAGGACAATTGCTGCAGCATGAGGAAAGTCGCTGATCCCTAGTCAGCCATGTTCCTATGATAAAGCAGCAAAGATGGTGTTTGTTTTCAAGGATTTCTGGCATTTGTAACAGGCAGTGAGCTTACTTTTTTTTGTGAAACAAAATGATGAATCCAGCAAAGTAATTGATCCTGTTGCTGCTTGTAAATGAGTACAACCATAATAAGCTGTGAAAAGCAGAAAAGATATGAGTGTGTATATGAGCAAGAAAATAACTGCAGATCCAGGTTTGATCCACTGTCATTAAGCACGGGTTTTATTGTACATATTGTAGATGAGATCATTGGTTATGTACCTATTTGCATAAAGTAAATTGCTAAGCAGGGAGGTGCAGGTAAGTGATAGAGCAGCCAGCCGAGGCTTTATCAGTCACAGAGGCTGCATGTCTAGTACAAGATGAGTTGTGTGCGAGAGATTTTTAGAAAAACACGAGTCTGCAAGGTGCAACATTGCCACACAGTTGTCAGAGCTGAACTGGGGTCTGCATTGTGTTATCACAGCACAATGCTCTAAGTCCCTTAGAAAATATGGCTGTTCCATTGGAGCTTGTGTTTTCTTCTTCCTCCCAGCTCACAAGTACTCATTTTGTGGGTGCAAATAGTAGGTCGTGTGCAATGTCCAGTGTAGCTGTGAGGCTAAAATCACTGCCTCTTTCGCTTATTCAAATTAGCACTGTTCAGTAGCATGTGAAAACAGATGTGTTTCCCACATTTGTGCTCTTTTTGCCTACCTTTGTAGACCTCTTTGATTTGAACCTGTGTGTCACTGTGTGTTTGGATAGTGCACTGAGCACACAACACTAATACAATGAAGATCTGTAGTCCCTCTGGATTTTTCAAGGCTGCTGCTTTTCTGTTATACCTAGGAAGTGCACTAAATGCTGCATGATTGCATTTAATGGCAGGCTGGTGTCAAAGGGAGGTTTTGCATGTGCATTCAAACCCAAGATTCTGTCACCTTTCCCTGCTGCTTTTATTTCCATGTATTAGCAGTTCATTACAAAGAGACTAAATTACAGAAAATTGTTCACTTCCAGAGATCCAAACACCATTTTCAGAGGAAACTCGTTAACTTCCAAGTGCATTGATGAGACAATGAAACTGGCAGGGATGCATTATCTGCAAGTTACATTAAAGCCAATTATAGATGAGGTAAGATGAGTTCAGACTGTTTATTTGGTAAAATGTCGTTGTAAGGACCTTCAGGAAACAAATACAGCTTATTCTCATTTTAGGAACACTTTGCAATAATAATGCTTAATAGCTATTAATAGCTTGTTTCTGCATTAAAATCCTGTGTGTTAGGTTAGCCACAGCTGAGTCACCCAATTCAGAAACAGTTGGATTGCATTAAAGGAAAAGGAAAACTTCTGTTTATTAAACCACATTACTCTGTTTTATAAAAACTAGCATATATTGTTTCTGAGAAATTAATAAATAGTATATACAATAGCAAACTGTTGTGACGCTATAAGTAATGTGTTTCATCCAGTGGGTATAAAAACATACAGTTATTCTTAGATAACTGTGCATGTGATGCACAAACTGGAACAATGGTTTATTATCTGTCCCGTCCAGAATGGTGGGTGTGGGTATTTTAGTGCTGTAATTGGGCAATACTTTCAGACCACAGACTTCCTTTAAATGATTTGACAATTTCTTCAGCTGTTCTTGTCTTAATGTTTCATCAGAAAATGTCAGGTTTTAAAGAATATAGATATACTTTCAAAGTTGACTGTTTTGGAAAAAATAGGACATTGCTTGAACAGCCTTGCTTGAGAGAGTCTAAAGAACAGTTTTGCATTTCAGTTGAAGGAAAGGGTAGAATGAATTAATGCTACTCTTTGGAAAAAAATAACGATCACACCTAATTTGCCTTTGCAGTTAAAAGAAAAAATACTGTTCATAAAGTTGGCTTTTGCCTTTTACTTCTCATCTCAAAAGCTAACAGCTGATGCTTTTTACAAAACTTTTTGTACTTGAAGATAAACTTATATATCAATTGTTCACTATTTTTTTTTCTAGATCTGCCAAGTCCATAAACCTTGTGAAATTGATCCTGTGAAATTAAAAGATGGTGAAAACCTGGAAAATAACAGGGTATGCATTAGATTTTGAAGACAGTCTCGGTTTGTGCCATCAGATTTAACTGAGGTCCTCAGAAGTTTGATCTTGCAAATAATTTTGTCATTCCTTAAAATACACTGTAAGCTTTCTTGACACCACCCTTATAATTATTTCATAACAGCTTTACATTATGCTAGAAACGCAATACCTGTAGAAAGTTAATGACTTCTTCTGCTACCCTGAGGACAGTGATAACTAAGCCTGTGGCTAACCTGGAGAAAAGGAGGCTCAGGGGAGACCTCTTTCTGTAAGGAGGTTGTAGCAAGGTGGGGATCAGCCTCTTCTGCCGAGTAACAAGTGACAGGATGAGAGGAAAAGACCTCAAGTCGCATCAGGGGAGGCTTAAGCTGTATATTGGGGGGAGATTTCTTAAGGGTGGTCAGGCACTGGAATAGGCTGCCCAAGGAAGTGGAATCAGCATCCCTTGAAATGTACAAGAGGCATGTGGATATGGCACGTGGAGACGTGGTTTAGGACTCAATGATCTGAGAGATCTTTCCCAGCTTTAATGATTCTATGATTCTGCTGATGATGTAGTAAACAGTGCTAGAAGAAGGAATGATTTGCCATACGGCTGTATCATGTAATGTTTGGTTTGATAGGAATGATATTTTTACTCTTCTTCTTGAATATGTGCATTTCCCAAACAGTGTAATTGAGTGAGAGTTTGTTTTTCAAGTGTATAATGTTGAAAGTGGGAATCTTTTAATGATGCCACTATGAATAAAACCAGGAATAGTACCACTTTCCACAGCAGAAAATTATACTAATTTTGTCATAATCTTTGCATTTTTCAGGAAAATCTGAGGCAATATGTTGATCGCATTTTTACTGTAATTACAAAATCTGGTGTAAGCTGCCCTACAGTGATGTGTGATATTTTCTTTTCACTGAGAGAATCAGCTGCCAAACGTTTTCAAGGTGAGTTTATATATATTGTTTTTATTTTACTTAACTGATAGCTTTTAAATGCAGTAGTCTAGCAGTCTGCATGATCCCTGTTGGATTTAGTAATTGAATAGCAGCTTATGCAAAATAATATTTGCAGTATGTTAATGCTGTTTTCTCATTGATTATTCATTCCACAAAGGAACATGATTTTTGATGATGATTGGAGTTTTTTCTTAAACATCTTTCAAAGGAAAACAGCATTTAAAAAGATCATTATGCTGATCTTTATATGTTCAGTATTTGCAAAGCATATTCAATTTTCAAATGTTCAGGATTTTATAATGGCTTATTCTTCAGATTCTCTGCAGTGGAATTATTTTCTGCTTATATGTCAATCTGTAATAAAAACCTGTCTATAAATTGGAGTTACTGCAAGCTCACTGTTCTAGTAGCCCATGTGCTGCAAAGGTTTTCTGGCTGTCAAAACAGTTGTTTTCAGACGGTTCTTTCCAATCCCTCTTAGTTGTTTTGACTCTGTGAGAGTAAGTGGACAATGTAAAACCAGAATTAAGCAAAATAATGATGCTATGTATTTTCATGAAGGGAAGCAGATTACAGTAGGGAAGTTTTAGAGAGAGTAATACGAGTTCAGCTTATAAACAGTCACTTTGGAATAGGCAAGCTCAAGCGGAAAACCATTGACTGTGCTGCCATGCCCTTTATTTTATGTTTAAATAAATAAGTGAAATATATTTTCTGTAGCTACCAAATGGATACATTAGGAGTCTGTACAAAATTTGTTCTCAGGGCTATAAGTAGGTAACTGAGACTTGGCCTCTGTGCTGAACATTTCATAAACTGTGTAAATTATTCATCATACTTCAGTGCATATGTGGAATAGCAGATGTCTGTGAAATTCCCTATGTGGTGGAAAAGTGAATGGTGTTCTTGCAGCTTATGTTGTGAAACTGCATATTTTTTAAAGAGGCTCTCATTGACATTCCTTCGGTTAGGCTAGCTGATCTCTGGCTCCAAATCCTCTATCATCACTTAATCCTGTGACTCGCAAATATATACATTATCCAGCACATGCTCGAGTTAGCTCTCTCAAGGCTCTGATAATTTCATGAGGCTTTTCAGGAAGGATTATTGAAATGCTGAGTAGAGGTCTTTTTTCTTTTTTTTTTTTTTTAAATAGGTGACCTAGATGTAAGGTACACAGCTGTCAGCAGCTTTATTTTCCTGAGGTTCTTTGCTCCTGCCATTCTTTCTCCAAACCTCTTTCAGCTTACACCACACCATCCAGTGAGTACTGTATCAATTTTTTTCTAGCTGTGTTTATGGTTCTGTCACCATAATCTGTCTATCGAGATTCTTTCTTCAATTCTTTTAATAGCCTTTAGGAAAAGTATCTTTGGTAGTTCAAAGATCTATTATATCTGTATTGGATATGCAGCATATGTTGAATGACTATGTATATGAAGAACTTGGGAGATACTGGAAGAAGAGTGAAATTTAAGGACAAACAAGATAGATGGTCTGAGCTGCTGTGGAAAAAAGACTCATTGCTTCGTTCTTGCCACATCACATTAATGCTGGATTGATTGGAAATATTTTGGATGTTAAACAACGTATGCCAGGCTTCCAGTAGTTGTTTTTATTGGGAGTGGGGAGGACGTGGACAGCCTTGTTTTTGTTTTGTGGGTGATTGGATCTCTGAAGGTTAGCAGGGTAGCTATGGAGCATGATGGCTTACGAGCCAAAAACCTTTTAATATAAAAGCAACTTTTTTCCTGCAGTGTTTTATTAGGGGTCTTTTCTAATATTTTATTACTCTTCTGCAAGTAAAATAAGAAAGAAGAAATATAGTTTACCTTCCTCTATTCATTATTTTAAATAGCTAGTCCATATAATATTGTTCTCCTTACTAGGATCCTCAGACTTCTCGAACTTTGACGCTTATCTCTAAAACCATTCAAACACTAGGCAGCTTATCAAAGTCTAAATCTGTAAGTATGCTATTTTCATTTAATAGCTTAATTTAGGAAAGTGATTTTTTTAATCTTTTATCATTAATTGTAATTAAGCCTTTAAAATGCTTGAGTTGCGCTAGGCTCATGCAAAACTGGTTATGTTTGCTTTGATTATAAGCCTGTCATGTTTAGAGGAAAACTAAATCTGTCTTAATCTGAACTAGATTTCAGTAAAGCAAAATTGTGTGACCAATTTAGAAGTCTGTTTCAGAGCTCTTCAGTTCTTTTTTTGGAAGAAAGACAATGATCAGGAGAACCTGTGAAGTTCTCTACTTAGCTGTGATACATGATTAGCTCTACAGAGCTTTATAGATTGTTTCAGCATTTTAAAACTCGTCTGAGAAAGGTCAGCCAATAAGGGGAAGGGCTATAATTTCCTTTTCATACCAGTTCAGTTTTCTGTCAGTGGTGAGATTAGAGCTAGATACTCTGGATGTTTGATTGAAATAAGGGTACCTAAGGCACCACACTGCTGTAGCTGGTGGTAATTTGGGGTGGTTGAGGTCTTGTTAGGATTCACACAGGCAACTGTGAGTGACTGTGTACCTCAGTTATGAATCCTTCAAGACAGTAGAATTCTTTTTCTTACACTTCTTGTCAGGAGGAAAATTTAAAGCCAAAGCAGAATTTTGAAGTATTCGAAGAAAGCATTATTAACTGTGGTAACTGAACATATGAAATGCATTCTGCTGCCTCTCTGAAATAAAAGTTTGGTACTGTTGAATGTGTGCTGTATAACATGAAAGTAGAACTCGCTTATTTTACTTCTGGCTAGAAAAAGCCCTGTCTGTCTGCAGTGACTTTCCTCTTGACCTACTGCTATTAAAAATAATATTTTCTGTATAAACTGTATGATAATATGCATGGTTTTGGCTTTGTATTTCAGGCCAATTTCAAGGAATCTTACATGGCTACATTTTATGACTATTTCAATGAACAGAAATATGCAGATGCAGTAAAAAATGTAAGTAATGCATGTGAAGGTTCTAAAAACCCAACTGTGCTGTTGAAGTTAAATCCTAGAAAGCAGTACATACTGTTGGTAAACCAGGAAGTGTGTTGAGAAAAGCAGACTCCTGATAACTAATAGTCAAGGAATTTTTATCAAATTACACGCATGTCAATAGTTAAATTTCTTTGCATCTATTTCTAATTAATAAATAGGTTGGATTAACTAGCTGCTGCTTAGAGCTTTTGAGATGTGTGTACTTTGTAGAATGCTGCAGATCTGTGATGAAAATTGCTTAGTCCAAAAGGAAGTGAAAGATCCATGTAACAAAGGAGAAGCACAAGAAGTTTTGGGCATCTGCAGTTCTACTGCTTAAGAGCATTTGTGCTATTCTTAGGTTACAACCCAGGAAACCTCCCAAATTCCTCAAGCTTCTGCCACTACCTCCTATTTAACTACTTTTACAAATACTCTAGTATCTATATGCTATGCAAATGTTGAAAGATTTTCATTTGGGTAGTGGGGTCTTGTCATTTTTACACCTGCTTTTTGTTCACATTTTAGTTTCTAGATCTAATTTCATCTTCAGGAAGAAGAGATCATAAGAGCATAGAGCAACCTATATTGCTTAAAGAAGGGTAAGTATACATGTGCAATAAAACCATCTACTCGTGTGCTTACTACCATTCCAAGGCAGCCATCTTTTTTTCTGCCACCCCTGTTCCATTCATGCAATCAGAGAAGAAAATTCTTGTGTTGCAGTTTCTGCTCTCTGTGGTTGCTATAGCTGATTTGAACGTATTTTCATTTGATTTAAACGCCTTAATATACATGTGTTTTGAAATAAGTGGAGGAAAGAGAAGCCTGTAGAACTCAATTAGCTCAGCTAAGGCAAAATAAACTTAGATCAGCATTGTATTAAAATCAAGCTGGGGTCTTTTTCCTGAACTACAGTGAACAAAAGCTGTAAAATTCCACTGTGAAGGCAGTGGAAGACTGTGAAAACAGATACTGAATAAATTAATGAAAGCAAATAGAATTTGCTTTTGCTGCCCTCTGAGATACATATGCTAACTATTATCATGGCCATTTCGAAGAAAATTTGACATGCACTTGGAAGAGTTTATAGTCTTAGTACCTTTCCTTTTTTGGGAAGTATGTTCCATATGCTGTGTTAGTTTCAGATACCAGTTGTTGACGTTTTTTGTTACAAAACTGGGTTGTTAAGATCATCTAAGTGCACTGTAGAAACAGTTTCTTTGTCAAAATTTGTCAGAGCTCAGTAAGCTCAAATAGTATTTGAAAGTAAGCTTTCATGGTCTTTTTAAATAATGCAAAATCTACATTTTCAGTGAAAACATGACTACCTCTTCTATTTAACCTTGACAGTTCACTTCTCTGATAAGCCTCTGTCCTTAGAAGCATTTTTGTCTATTTTAATTCCATGCATTTATCATCCTTTTGGTTTTCAAAATGAATTTATAGTTTGTAACATTTACCCTCTAACTGTAAAACATTTTTTCTGCCTCTGTCTTTCTTTTGCTCCTGTCTGATTTTTTCCTGTCTTTTCTTGCTCGGCCTGTGGCTGCTGTTGTAAGGACTCTTAAACTAACAGTAAAGAAAGTTGATGGTAATAGTTCATGCAGGTAAGATGGTAGAGGCAGTTGCTGCTTTGCTGTAGCTACTGGCTGACAGCATGTCCTTTGCAGCAGTAGATTTGTCTGACTTAACTTTGGGGAGGAAGTACTCTGTTTAACCATCCTGACATGCCTGTGTAAACCCAGCAGAGAACATTTAGTTACCCATTTCTTGATGTTGACATTTTATTTTCCTTAAAACAAAAACCTGCTGTAAATAGGGAATAAAAGATTTCTATCAATAGGCAGGGCACCAAGGAGCACTGTATGGATCCTGAAGAACATGCTGAAAGTGATGAAGAGGCACTAGGCACTAGTAGGCACTTCTTAAGTAGTATTCATATAAATTATTCTCAAGGTTAAGAAGTGGCCTTCAGCAGTCTTTTTTTTTTTTTTTATTGCATTTTACATCATTGCCATGTTTTGTTGTGGGACTTTTCACAGCCTTTGATTTGATTCTTCTCCAGACTGAATAGCTGTTTAGTGGGGTTTCTATTTGCCTTTGCAATATTTTTGCTTGCTTTTGTGTTTTTAATCTATCTTTGCCTCTATTAAGAGTATCAAATGGAAAGCTATAGCATAAGTACTTTTGAATGAAAAGATTAGTCGTTGGCACTTGGGTTTGCTGACATCAATCATGCCGTCACTGCTTAACAGCTGCCTGCCTGGTTCTTCCCAAAAGGAAGAGAATGAAAAGGAGAACTATTTTTTTTTGGTGAAAAGGGCATGTCAATACTTCCAAGCAAAGCTAAGGTGGATCCAGATTGAGGTCTACCATTAGCATGAGAAGAAACAGCATCTCCAACCACCTTGTACTGAAATGGGTTTAATCTTGGACTTTTTCTCCCTTTGTGCTTCTGTTTCTCTGACTTCTCATACATCCTGCAATTGCTAGAAACAAAGAAGTTGACCTTATAACTTCTGTGATTTTGAATGCTAATCACCTATCTCTGTAAAATAAAAGCACATTTTTCACCTGGCTGTGTCAGCTATGAAGTATTTAATTAGAAATATGCTCTTAGCTCTGCCATGTGGAGTATGCGTTTTTCAAAGAGGGGAGACTCTGTAGTTTGCAATTTTAAGTCACCTTTAAGTGTTGGCATGAGAAGGACTAGAAACTAACTTGAAGAGCATGTTGTCCTGCCCAAGGGTATCAGTTCTTACTTTGAAATTTGCCTTTACCTGGAACTATGAGGGCTACTGCCAATGGGCCTGGTGAGGACCTGAATCACGTGGTGTTATTAAATATTTCTCAAGTATTCCAAGAATAAGGACCAAGACAGTAACTGTCTGACCATTTTAAGAATGAGAGATGTGTAACTATAACCAATTAAAAAAAAATCTGCTGCTGTAGACAGTCTTTGTCATCTTTTGCCCACACAGCTTGGAATGAGCAGCAGGTACCAGCCCAGCTGGTTACAAAGTAGTTAAAGTCTGAAGGAACTTGGGTTTCTGTTTGAACTTTAAACAGACCTGTGGTTTGGTCAGATGTATTGTAGTTATTTGTGACTGAAGGTACCAGAAGCAAGAAACAGTATTAGCTATTCTAAGCATTTTAGCTGTTCTAAGCATTTTAGCTCTGCTATTGAAGTCTTAAACCAGGTCATTTGCTGTTCTCTCTGTGTGCTCTTTGTGCTGTGTAGTGCCTTCCTACTTGATAAAAACTACTCTATAGTAAGTAGTTTTTACCCACTCCATTATACAGTTCCGTATTTGGCACAATAGTTAATGTAATGTGTAGAATAGCTGTTATCAACTCTCTACTGCATATGCACATGCATTTTTATCTAACAAAAGTGATGCTGAGCAATATGAAGTCACCAAAGTCACATTGAAGCTTTTGGATTGACGTAGTGATTAAGAAAGTGGTGGATGCATCACAGTTTACCAGTAAACTAATTTCACAATAAATTCATTCAAGTTTGAAATTAATTAAAACTGACAACTCACTAAATGATCACCCCTAATCTGCTAAAAAAGGGGTGGGGGTGCTCTACGTTCTAGCCATGAGATCACTTTGTATGTTATTGAAATTGCATTTCAACTGCAGTATCTATGTGCAATTGCAAATGAGTGGAACATCCTGATTTTGTTTCTAGAGCTTGAGAGTGATAAAGCATGCAACAGTATAGTCCCTGTGCTCCAGAGGCTTTACACCTCCCTTTTAATTATTACACATAGTCTAAACTTCTTGAGCTTTCTCACAGCTTAAAAAAAAAATATTAAAAAAGCTTGTAGAGTCAACAGGTCGAGCTTAGCAGAGCAGTACTAACAGTGTTCTGCCTTTTTTTCTGCTGTACCAGGAAACAATTTAGCTGGATTTGTAACTGCAGAAAGGACACAAACTGCAGCTCAGTTAACTAACTACAAGTCAAGTTACATGTCTTGCCCCTCATCTAGGTCTGGAAAAACGACAGGCCTAACTAATAGATGCACTAAACCTATCCAAATGTGACTCTTCTCGCTGCCAAGAAAAGACCTCAATAATTAGAAAACACTCTGTGTCCCCTCCTAAAGCTTTGCAAGTGTGATGACATTTATCTGTATGCATATACATATATGTATAAATCTACGTACATAAACATGCATTGTAACAACTGGTGCCCTGTTTACTAGGTTCATGATCAAGAGAGCACAAGGAAGAAAACGATTTGGTATGAAAAACTTCAAGAAAAGATGGTTTCGCCTGACAAACCATGAGTTTACTTATCAGAAAAGCAAAGGTAACAAAGGTTTGCCAGTTTTGTTTTGATACATTGAAGCAAAGATTAAACATGAGGATTGTGTAGAAGACTGAGATCAAGATTTGTAACTGTGGAAGACACACTGCAGGCATGTCTGTCAGCCTGTATGTTCTTGCTCTTTTATTAGTGTCTTTATTGACAATTAGAGAAGCTTCTTGATTAGCACAATACCCTGTAAGTTGACAAAGTATTTGATAATATTTGTCTAATATCGATTGTTAACATCATCTGTAGGTTTCACAGCTACCTAGATTGTCCTAGGAAACAAAACTTACAAACCTCAAGCTGGAATTTGGGTTTGCATTGACCATTCTCAGATGCACCTCAACATATGCTCATAAATTCTGTAGCATTGGCACAACTGGATGCAGTAGACAGGGATTCACCTGCAATCTCTGAATTTTTAAAATACGTTCACTTAATATTGCCTAATAGCAAGGATTTTACTTTTTGCCAATTGTTCCTGTTTGTTCAATAGTACAGAACAATTACCACTTCCTTCCATCGTGTAAGTACATAGGGAGGAAGAAAGATAAGGAAGTATGTTCAGATCACGCCAGTCATTATTTCACACTCAGCTTTGAGATCTTGCATCACCACTAGTTCAGTTCAGCTGACAGGAATAATTTATTTCATTATCACCTTTGCAGTAAATATACTGTGTACTGCTGCAGTAATCAGTTTCTAAGAGGTTTGCTAGCGTAAGGTAGTGCAGCTGAAAACAGAAATGTACTTAAGATAATACTTAAGGACCATGCTAGCAAATCTCTGCTGAGTGAAGGATTTTCCCTCTTTTCTATGCAGTCAAAATGATCTTCAAAGAAACTGAATCAGCCCTTAGAAAAAGGGCAAAAGTTGAAGACGAGTTGTAGAGTAAGTGGCTCATTATCTGTGTGTCTTTGTGTTCTGCAGGTGATCACCCTCTGTGTAGCATTCCAATTGAAAACATTCTGGCAGTGGAAAGACTAGAGGAGGAATCCTTTAAAATGAAAAATGTAAGTAGGTCATCTTCATTAATGTATTTGTTAGGCTGCTCCAGATCCACCAGCCTAATCGCCTTTTTCCCTTTTGTAACCTGGATTGGATTTCTACTGAAAGACGTACAACCACAGCTGCTTGTTCTGTATATAGGAGCAGGAGTTTCCAAAAGTACAGCCCATTCAGATTCTTAGCAGCCCAGTCAGCAGTCTTTGGGTTTCGTGATCTGCAGCACACTCAGTCCTGAGCGCTGCTGCTCAGCTGTCAGCTCTGTAAGGTCACACACAGATAAGATGATCGAGTCCCTGCCCTTTCTGCCAGGTCTCTCTGGTGGGGAGGAACTTGCTGCTTATAATTGTGAAGGATCACAACTTCTTTATTAGCTATTAGGTTTCTTTATTGGTTCATGAAAGTACATATCTATATATGGATTTGTATATTTATATTTAATTTGGGTTAGGTTATGTAGCAAAACTTCTGTGCTGTGCTAGTATGGTTTACCATTTTGATTGCCACGTTAGGGAATAAAATACAGCTGTATTTCTCATGCATGGAACACTACTGCCAACTTCTGTATTGTGTAAGAACAGACTTGATTAGTTTGGGTGATGTTGGGAGCCTTTTTCATACACCTCTGCCTATAAAGCGGAGTCTAGCCCTTTAAAAATTGTATTTAAAATTATACGAAAAAAAGCTCAGTTTTTTTTCCAGTTCTGAACATGCACCTACTGCAGACTTATTTATACACATGCATGATTGTGACTTTAATATTTTTCTGCCTGTAAGTATTTCCTGCCATCTACACTGCTTGTGAGTACCATGCAGGGCAGTGCTTAATCCTGCCCTCGATATTAGGTTCCTCAAACAGCTCTTTGTTAAAAGTGAAATACAGTTCTAGGCTCTTCAGTATTCCCCAGTTTTAGGTATTATTTTGGTATCATCTCTCTGCCAAAACATGGAATAAGTTTCAGTTCCACCTGCTTCTAGAACATATCTCAATTGTAATGAAGTTTGCTCTGGTGTTTATAAGTCTACTACATAGACAAAAACCAACCAAGCTGCAAAATAATTTAGGCTATCAGAAGGCAGCTGTAACATGTGATGAACTGTTGCCAGCTACACTCTGCAAAACAACTTAATTGAGCTAAAAGCAGTCGCACAGTTGAGATATAGCTCACTCCTCTCTAAAGACAGTGAGTTTTAATTCTGTAACTTATTCTGAGGCTTCTGAGCTAGACTGAGCATCCAAAGTATGTCTGTATTGTGAAGATTAATTATGGGGAAAATATACCTTTATTGTTAACATCAAAAACCCTGTGCTATTTTGGCTGCTTAAATTCAGTTTTACCTGGGAAATCAAGGTGACTACATCCATTCCAGAAAGTAAGATTCAGTCTTTCCATAAACAGTAGAAAATACTGTTACCACCTTCTTGTGCTAATATATTCCTATTTTCCTTGCCATACATAAATAGATTACTGCAGCAAGATCAGAATTCTCAGAACACCACAGCAGATATATTTGCAAAGGATATTCCCTCATGAGTGCTTGTGTGATAAAAATTCGCATTTTGTATAAATATTCTGTGTATCTGTGCTCTGAATTGTAACAAGTGTGTCCTTCTCACTCCTGTTAAATCTGCCTGTCTGGCAGTAAGGCCAGTAGCCTTTGTTGTTCTTAAGCACAGTTTGGGGAATATGGGGGTGGCTTTAAGTACTGCTTGGCTCTTTCGTGTTGTTTGAGAGGCAACTGGTGGTTTTGGTAGTGTAAAGGTCTTGCAGCCACTTGAAATTCTTGGCTTAGTTGTGGGCTCTGCAGTAACTGCTGCCATATGTGGGATCACTTTGGTTGGTATCCCCTTACACAAAGCCATACTCCTTAAATCTGTTCCTTTTTTGCAGTGCAGGAGGCTCCATTTACCCCAGCAGAACATTAAAATTCTTTTCCCTGTAGCTCTTATGTTAATAGAGCATTGAACTGCACGCTCCTGTCTTCCTTTTTCTTCCTTCCATCCCTGTTTCCCAAACTCAAATTGCCAGTTATGCCCTGAAGAGTTTTATGGAAAGGACTCTGGTGTTTAGTTGGCACTGTTGGACTGATCACACCAAGCAGTTCCTACACTGCCATGGTGTATCGTGCCTTTCTGATTATTGTCTGATACCAATAGGGATACTAAATCCAGGGAAATGGTTGTTTGAGCTTTCCCTTTGCTATTTGGAATGATGCACATCTAAAAGGGTCACAAAAGAAGAAAGGGCTGTGTTTGGTACCACAACATCCTCCCAACCAGCTGGGTGCAGAATTCAAGCCAATATTTCAGGACAATGTAACAAACAAAGGCAAATTTCAATCTTGTTGGGTCTGATTTGTTGTTATTGTTTGGTTTATTTGTATGTTTTTTGTTGGGCTTCTTTGTGTGTGTGTGTGTGTGTGTGTGTGTGCACCTCTCTGGTTTTCTTTTTAAAACAGCACAATGAAACCAGCTGTTTGGAAAATTGTATTCCATATGATATGGGCAATGTAATGTCTAATGATTTGAATCATCTAATGAAGATGTAGAGGGGAAAAGTATAGTTTAGGCATACCTGAAAGAGAGAAGAAAATGCATTAAAATTAAGTATTTGCAGAAGCTAGAGGAAATGGAGGCACTGAGTTTCTCTGTCACCCTTCCAAAACTTGGAGTTGCAGCATTGCTAAAATTGCTCCCCCGAGGCTGACAACAAATCTTGTTGAGACCCAAGAAGCAAGTTGATATTAGCTATTTGTAAATCATCTCCTACAGGAATGGTATCTTATTCCTTTTACCAGGTGAAAGGTCATGTTCTTTTAAGGGTACATTTGGTGCTTGGTTTTGTGTTGAAATGTATTTATTGGTCCATTTTTTAGTATGCTGTTTTTTTCCTGCAATAAATCTTCACGCCGAGTCTAGTCTTAGGTTCACTGACTCATTCTGGTGCTTTATTCTGTGGTTTATTTGCAGATGTTCCAGGTGATCCAGCCTGAAAGGAGAGTCCTGTATATCCAAGCAAATAATTGTGTGGAGGCCAAGGACTGGATTGATATCCTCACCAAAGTTAGCCAATGCAATAAGAAGCGCCTCACTGTCTACCATCCTTCAGCCTATCTCAATGGCCACTGGCTTTGCTGTAAAGCTACTGCAGATAACACCCCTGGCTGCACACCCTGCACAGGGTAAGGTTTTAATGGGTGTAGCTGCTGCCATGGGTTCGTGTGTCTCTGCAGGGTGTCTTGCAGGTGCACAGTTAACCACGATTTGCCAGGTGTACAGCTGTTCAAAGGCCATCCATTGGTATTCCTGATTCTACATGTCTTGATCAAAATGTTGACTTTTTAGAGTTAGAGATGGTGATAGGAGTTGACTGCTGGATTAAAAATACTTTGGTTTTGATCATCTGTCATTAACAAAAATGTCTGAAACCCCTTCAGTATCCTCTTTGTAAATTCCTGAAGCACTCATCTGCTGATAGATTAATTCTCAACTGATCTTTTCAGGGACTACTCATGCTCTCTTTTAGACGAAGATGTACTGTCTGGTTTGTAGAAAGCAATTTTCATCTAAACTGAGAGAAGCAATAAGACTGTAGTGATAGCTAGACTCAGAATATAAGACCTGGGCAGCTGGAAGTTCAATGCTTTGGCTCCTCCATCTGGTTGTAGCTGACTAATTCACCAAAATGTCTGCATACTGATATAGTCTTCTCTTTCAAGTCAGTGAAATGATGATGGATAAATAGAGGCATAAAAAAGTTTAAACTTGTCTTCTTCTTTTGGGAAGAAATGGAATGTTTTGAGCTGTTACACACAGTCTGTTGGCTTTCATGAGAGCTCACTTTTACTTTGTTTTCCTTGTTAAGTGCTTTATGTGCCATAATACATTGCTTAGCATATAACTCTTACCTCTCTTCCTGATGCCTTGCAGAGGCCTCCCAGCAAATATACAACTGGATATAGATGGAGATAGAGAAACTGAGCGCATCTACTCTCTTTTCAACCTGTATATGCCAAAATTGGAGAAAATGCAAGGTGAGGATTAAAGATCATTGCATCTCCAATTCACTTACCAAGGCAAAAATACCTGTGAAAAGGATCTTCTGGCTCAACCTGCCTTGCAAATCACATCCGAGAACATAGTGGCCTTTATTCCATTTGTTTCCCCTTCTGCTGTCTTGAGGCAGTTGTGTGTATTATTTTTGGTGCAGTCTCATGGTCTGTAAAAAGTTCTTTGCGTAATAACAGTTGTTTGAAATGTGGTCTTAACCACATCATCCTAAAATAGCATAGGCACAGAGCGTTGCTCGGATGCTCTGAACTGACAAATCAGAGCCAGCACTGAACCAGAGGGTTACTGATCCTGACAAGAAGCACCAGCAAAGTTGAGGTTTCAGTGGAATATGGTTTTGTGTTACCAGAAGTCATGTGCACGCACATTCCCTGATTCAGATCCTAAGAACAGGCTGGATACAGATGGTTTCTTTGGAAAGGCTCTTTTAGAATTACCCATCAAGGATGACCTGTGGATTCCTGTGAAATGTTGAAAAGTGGAGTTTTGGCTGGGAAGTTTTCAGGAGCTGAGGGAAGCAGAGATGTGATGGAAAGGATAAAAGAAAGAAGAGACAGCAGAGGAAGTTGGTACTAGGAGGCATGCCAAGAGAAGTATCCGGTGTACACAGTGCCAGACTTGAAATCCCAGTTTAGCACGGGGAGTGGCAGGGAAGCCTTCACTGTGGCACTGATCTTTAAATAGGACTTTATTTTATAATATGAGATAAGCCAGTGGTGTCAAACACACAGACTGGAAAGCACTTTAATCTGTTCCTGGCTGCTGTGCAATTGCAAACTCAAGATCCTCAGCACTTCCGAGCTGTCTGAACTGGTGCCCAGCTTTCCCTTGTTCCGAATCCTCGCTGCCAGAGCCAGCATCGAGTTTCAGTGTTGGGGAAAAGGACGCAGGTCTGGCACAGACAGTGTGGCAAGGAGAAGGGAATTCGAAAGCTGAGACTGGGACAGCAGCAAAGGTAGAAGGAGAGACAAAGTAAAATTCTTTCCCCTTCTTTCCCCTTCTAATACACCCAGCTACAATGCAGGAGTAGATCACATGGAAAATATGTTGTGGATGTTCCTGCGTAGTCAGATCTCTTAGGAAGACTCCTGGGTAAGATCAGAAGGTATAGAAGTATAACTTGCCCCTTTGGATATGTCGTAAAGCAGGCAGCCAGGCAGTACTTAGAGCATATTCTGCTTATTCTTATCGTATGAATCTTTCAGGGGTAATGTGGTAAAACATGACTACTTCAGCCTGTAATGTTTTCAAATTCAGCCTGTACTTGCTGCCTGGGGATGGAACCTGTCCCAGCAGGTGAATACTTGACTTTGTGCAGGCCAGCCCTGCAGCACATTGTGTAAGAGTTTCTAGAACGTGTGCATGGGCTGCAGATAGTGGCATTTGAGATTAAAGCATTGCCTGTGCAGCAAAGAACAGCTTCCCACCAAGCCAGGAGCTGCTGCCAGGCTTGCTGCCCTTTCTGTACAAGAGGAGGAGGAAGAACAGGCATGGACAGCCTCTGTGCCTCCCAACAGCCCAGCTGGAGGGCAGGGAACTTCTGCTACTGATGTCAGCCACAGTTCTGTGGTGGTCATACAAAAGCAAACCAAGAAACTGTATGAACCCCAGAGTGAATATTTTTAGTCTGCTTGTCTTGCTTTTTCCCTCTGCCTGATATATATTCCTGTACTTTATTTTTTTTTTCTCCAGAGGCCTGTGGGAGCAAATCTGTGTATGATGGACCTGAAGAGGAAGAGTATTCTACATTCATCATTGATGACCCTAAGGAGACATATAAAACACTAAAGCTGATTATCGAAGGTGTTGGAACTTTAGAGCAGGAGCACGCTCAGTATAAGAGGGATAAATTTAAGAAGACGAAGTATGGAAGCCAGTAAGTACAGTGGCTTGTACAAACAGGGGGACGGTCCTGGAAGATGGTATTTCCATTGCTTGTGCTCTGGCTTTCACTGTATTTTGTCCAAAAAAGGTCCTGCAAATACATACAGAGTAGCACTGTGACTTAAGATTTATATCACAATATTTTAAAGCACTGAAAGAAAATTTTTAATGCTTGCTTTTAATGCAGTTTCATTCATAAAATTTAAATATGGATTTACTATACTGTTATGCTGGTGAGCAGAGCAGTTAATAGCAGAAGATACATGTGTTTACCAGCTTATCTTGGAGTATTGGTTTAAAAATGGAGAGTGGCTGATGCAGCTACATGACTGTATTTTGTGTACACATCAAGCATTCTGCATATGGCTGACAAAAAAGAGGATCAATTCAGTCAGTTCTAGCTCAAGTAAAATGCAGTATTAACATTACAATTACAACTTCAAAATCAAATTTAGGGAAAAAGTTCTTGCGTGTTCCACTTTCTGTTCTGGCATTTTCATGTCCTGACAGAAAGCTCTATGTATAATACTGTTTTTTTCTTTTCTTTTAGAGAACATCCCATTGGTGACAAGAGCTTCCAGACATACATCAGGCAACAGTCAGAGATCTCAGCACATTCCATATGAAGTGCAAAGGAAATCACAGGACAGTGCTGAAGGGTTTAGTGATGCTAAATAGCAAAACAAAAGGGAAGCCACACATGTAGCAAAATGTATGGATAAGTGTCAAGCTTACAAACTTTGAGACTTGGTAAACGTATTCTCTTTTCAAGAAACTGTTATAATAGTTGCTATGCACTTTATTCATCTGGTTATTGACAGATGATAAAACCCTGCCTTCTAGGCAGTTGTCATGTGTATTTTTAAATTTGCTTTGGTTTCTTGGAATCTAGTGATCAGTTCAATGATCGAGGTGTGTGGACTTCATCTTGACAACTCCCATGCAATTCCTTGTGTTTTGGAAACCAAGCATGCTGCTAACATGCAGCATTTTCTAGAATGGTTGTTTGTTACTGTTTTTTGTTCCTGATTAATGTATATTATGTCACGTCCCCTGCGTGCTCTCTTAGGAAAAGCTTAGTAATACTTTACTTTTAATGCCTGCATTTAGAAGAGAAGCAGAGAAAAATCCCTCTGGTGTAATCATCTACATTGTAGCTTGTATTCTGAGCAGGCCAAGGAGCAGGCCTTTTGTTTTTACAGCAGTGTAATTTTTGCTAACTGTGCACAGTTTTTAATAGAAATTCAAATCTGAATGGTACTCTTGATATTTTTGAGATACGAAGTCATTGCTCCAGGCACATTCAGCAGACTGTTGATTTGAAGATGCAATCTCAGCAGTATAATAAAACTGACTTTCATAAATACAAGTAAGAAAGAAATGAACTCATGTCAAAGCTACTTGTCTCTTTTACACAGTTCAGTGAATGGTAATCTTTGAAAGTCTGCCAACTGGAAGGCAAGGTAAGCTGATTTTGATGACCTTTTAGCACCACAGTGAGGAGGACAAATAGAATATGAATCTGGCAGCTGAGACATGCAGATTCCCAGGCACAAAAGCCATCAAGATGGGTTTGCTCTGAAAGGATGTTTATGCACTGGAGTCCATGCTATCCTAGTACCACTTGCTTTTCTGGAAAATAGATTTCTACTTTTCAAAAAATGTTTTTAAATACTTTTTAAAAGAGACTTGTTAAGTGATATTTAGCATATTAACATGCATAATGATAACTTGTTAATACTATGAGTGTAGTATAAATGGAATGAGCTGTGTATCTCACTAATACCAACAAAAGGAGAGGAATAAAGATCTTCTAAATATTCGATGCATATTGATGTTTAGTTGTACACCATAATTTTTCTCTGTGTAAGGGTCTGATATACAAACATCTAGCTTTGATGGCTTGGAAGCCTGCATGATGGACTTTAGGCCTCTGTGGGGTAGAAGCTAGTACAGGTTTTAAGCTGAGTTGGATCAGAAAGCATTGTTCAGTTTAATGTGAAGATGTCTGTGTCTTTGGTTCAAGTGTTAAAGAATAATTCTTAACTGTGTCCTCATTGCATCTGACATGATTTAAGATGGCTAAAGTACTTCAAATGCCTCTGTTTGTTAGTGATATTCTTAGAAATTAAGTTTTGGTTTTGTTTGAATATATAGTAGACCACCTTCTAGTAGATGATAAATGATCTTTTATTCATCTTTGCCCAGGAGACTGGGGAAAGGGAAGTAATGAAGCATTGCAAAGATGCATTTAGGACTCCAAGCTTTTAGCTGCCATGAACTGCAATTTTTAACATGTATTTGTAACTTAATATTGTTTATAAAATACTAATGACCTGTAATGTGTGTTCTATTGCCAATTAAAAGAAATGGTTTATTTCTGAAAATTGTGTCCACGTTTGGAGTCTTTTTAAATTCACAATGGCCACCAGCATGCCTCTTGGCACAGCATCTCCTCAGAGTGAGGTCATGGATGACAATCTTTGTGAGTGTAACCAGCCAAGTGCCATCTTTGCTCTTCCTCCCATCCCACCCACCCCTTTTCTTGTCAGCATTGCACCCATGGGACTCTGCAGTGAACCAGACTGGGCACAAAGAAAGCTTGCTCAGCTAGGTCAGCATCTTGAACCATGTTCCTTGTGTTACTGCACAGTAACTGAGCTGAGACCATGTTGAAAAGAAAGGAAGAACCAGCTGAGCCCACAGCACTCTGCATGCCTATGGATTGTCTCATAGACCTATGGAAACACCACCCTTCTGATTAGGACCTGTTCTGTGACAAAACCTTGGACTTGCTGAGGTTTGTGCTAGTCATACTCCTGGGGGCTTACCAGTCCTCTCTGGATAATCACGTGTGTGCACAGAACTCTGTGTCTGAGATGTGTGACAAGCTGCACACACCGGTTCTCTTGGGGAGTGTTTACAGGGAGGCTGGGCAAGGATGGAAATCTGCTGACCACTTTTCAGGGTGTGTTCACTCAGCTTATGTTGAAGGTAACTCCCACTGCTGTAGTGGCTGTCTCTCACCATAGCTCAGGCGTGTGCTTCCGAGAAGCTTCTGGGGACGAGCTGCTGCAGGCGCTCGAGCTGAGTGACAGCAGTGGTTTAACAGATAAACCACATCCAGGAACAAAAACCAAACTGATGGGGGAAGACACATGACCAGTGTCCTGGTGAAGGTGAGCTTAACCACAATTGTGTAAATGTGCAGTTTTGCTGAGGAACAGTAAACCTTGTTTTGAAAACAAAATTTTACATAAAATGAGGTAGGAAACTGACACAAGATTTGTAAGAAATGAGAAGAGTTAAATGCAAAATGACTGTAACACCATTTCCAGCTCTCTCTTTTTCACTCAGTCTCATCTGGTGTTTACAGTATATCTTAGCTTAAGTCAATAGGAAATCTTTGAAATCTGCTTTTCTTACAGCATAGCATTGTGTTGAGGGGGTTGTATTAAAATTGGGCTTCCTCTTCCTTGCTTAGCCTCTATCTCCTGTCTGTCTGCAGCATAAGTTTCTGATGCTATCTTCAGTAACACTCAGAAATCCTGCCCACAAGAGAAATAGCTTGATTGGGAACCTTGGGACAGCATCCCTTGTGTCTGGAATGAAGATCTCTCCTGGGGCTCCTACTGCCAAAGAAGTTCCCTGTGCCTGTTTTCTCTCTTGCTGAAGCAATGTGCTAGGGCAGGACTGAAGTGGTGACAGGACCCAGGCAGCTGGCTGTGTGACACACCTATCTGAGGCACCTGAACTTCGATGTGATTCCCATCCTCTTTCTGCAATACTCTATGCTGTTTCCCCTTTTTAAAGGTCTGTGTGAAAAGCTCACCTGGATAGCAGGAGAATATGTGAACCCTGCCAGCCCCCATTATTAGGTCCAGGAAATGAGTGCTGCAGGAGGAAAATGGTGTAAGGACTGACAGTGGCTGGTGCTTGGAGATAAAGAACAGCATCTTCCCACGAGCCACCTTCTCTGGATGCATTGCAGCTGGGCTAGCAGGGCTGACTGAAGACAGCATTTCCTTCTGGCTCTTGGGCTGCTGTCGTTAAATGGTAAATAGATTATTGCAAAGCTCAAGTGCTGAGGAATGGAGGAAATACAGAAGCACTGTATTCCTATATGGATAAATGCTGGATATGATCTGTGAAAGAAAAGATTGTAAGGAGTCATCATTAATCAATTGTTCTGGATTCCTAAAATAAAACAGGATCCTAGGAGATTAATCTTGAGGATAGAAACCAGCCCTTCTAACTTGTGAGAAAATTACACATGCCTTTCTATTTCAATCCTTATTTTTCTTCTGCTACTCCACCTGAGCCGCTCTGATTTACCTGAAAACTTAACATCATCGGGTTTACTGGTTTTGTGCAAAGCTGTTACTTTCAACCACAAAGTTGCCTGGTGTTAGTAGGTTTGCCTGCAAAAATAACGTGGAAGTCTTGATATAAAACAAAAGGCTCATTAGCAGCCTGGGCTAGATGTAAGGAAGGTTGAAATGGTGAAAACAGAAATTGGCTTTTTACTAGTTTGAAAACGTTGCTATGCTGAATCTTAACCAGAAGCATGCCCTGTACGGCATTGGTGTGGTTAGTGTTGAGAGCAAATTCTCTCTACAAGTGTGGGGTCTGTGTGGTGTCTGACTTACTTTACTAAATTCATTCATTATCTTTAACTTCTGTCATAGTTGCGCTGTTCTATCCTAAAGCTGTCAAAAGGAAGTATACTTTTTATTGTTTACTTGAGGCCATAACAACAGAACTACCTAGATATGGACTCTTACAAGCAAATGAGTAAGTTTTGATTAGAGATGACAGCAGTGCAAAGGATTGCCATCGTGTACCAAATGTATGAATTTGTAAATTTAATTGACTAAGACACTTGGGATAAATGGAACCATTTATTTATCTGCGTGTGGAAACTAAAACTGTAGTTATCATACTTGTGTAGAAAAATCTGATGATGGGAATACAGTAAGCGAATTTTATGAATTAAAGGTGAAGAAAGAAATACTTGATGAAAATACAAACGATGCACAGAAAAAAAAGAGGGTTACCCTGAAATGTCTTGTGTTTTGCTTTATTTGGCAAGTTATCCTGTATTTCAGCTCAGCTAGAATTCCTACTTCTCATTCTCCATAGAAGCTATCTTTTTGGCAGCCATGACAGCCTATGACTGGAGAGGATCACTAGAGAGCTGAGAAAAGCAACTTTAAAAATAGACAGACTCATCTGTGGTGTCTGGAGATGTAAATGCTTTGCCTCCCACTGCGCCACAGTGTTGTGAGAACAACTCGGTGGTATGTCTCCTCTTGTGGTAAGGCCCCTTAAAAAAGATTCTGATGCTTGCCCTGGCTGTGGTCCTGCATCCCATTAATAGCACTGATGAAACTGAATCAGTGAAATAATTGGGAGTTTTTAGGAGGAGATTTTGGAAAAACCTGGAGCGTCTGCCTAACCAGGTCTACAGCACTCTCATAAACTCTTGCATTAGCACAGCTGACAAGATGAGGACAAGCCACCCAGAGAGCTTTACCACCGGAGAGAATGTGTGATAGGTGCTCTGGCACCATCCCCACCAGCCCTTTGCTGCCTCGAGTTGGCATGGTAAAGACTGTGAGAGGCTCAAAGGCAAGCTAGCTTTCCCACTAGAGATGTGGGCCTGAATCTCCTTTGTTTGAATATTGTTATTATTTTTCATTTCAGACAAGTTACCTTGATATAATTTCTGTCAAAGATGCAGGAAGAGGGAACAATAAGCAAAAAGTCCTCATTTGGGAGTAGTTTGTAGAGCCCTCTGAGAGGACTTAGCATTGAGTCTCACCAAAGAGATGCTTTTTTCTCACCAAAGAGAGTCTCACCAAAAGCAAATAGTTTTGCTTTATTTAGAAGTTGTGACTACAGGAGAAGGGATGAAGATACTGTCAGGCCTGGGAGATAGTATCTGTCTCATTAAGAGGAGAAAGGTACGAAAAGCCTCATGGGGAGGCAGGACCTATCTTCCTGGGCTGCAAAAGGCCGAGTGCTCTCGTGTTTATTAAGGGCCTGTTCAGCTCTTAGGTTGGGACCTGACACAGTCAATGTAAAGCAAGAGCCAGGAGGCCACTGCAGCCTAAAGTAGAAAAATCAGAACTGGTTCTACCCACAGGGCTCCCAAAGCTGAATGATGCTGTCTTAAACAAACTGTCCAGTAATTCATTTTCTCTGTGTGTTTCTCCTGCCTAAGCAATTCCTGATGTGAAGGAGAGCTATGGTTTTCTGTTGTGTTCCTTCAGAGCTGAAAACCCTGTGAGCCACCATGCAGCCACATGGTCATGGACCACCTGCAGCTGCCTGGGGCCAGCAAGGAAGAGAGTGGGGCACTTCCCTGGCTCCCTGCATATGGGTGCTGCAGGGCTGGGCTGCTGGGAGTCTCCCCAGGCTCTACAGGCAAGATTGGCACAACTTCTTTTGCCTTCCTTCCTTCCTTGGCCCTGCCCTTCCAAAACGATCCCAATTTCTTTTCATCTGGTGCCCGGACAGAATAGATGGAGACGGATCTTGCTTACCAGCACCTTCCTCTTGTCCCAAACCTGTTGGCCCTTCTGGTGTCTCAGAGCTTGTGTTCACCATTGCCCTAGTCCTGGTTGTCATCACTACTCACCAAAAGACTCAGTGTGGAAGGGACCTCTAGGGGACCTCTCATCCCACCTGCCCCTCAGATCAGGTCCTTTGACTGTTTCTGATAGTACCTTTGTCTTTGAGGCAGCGCTGCTGCCCTAACTCAGTCGAGGAGGTCGCTTGGGCAGTGGTACAATGCTGCAGTGGAGGAAGAACAAAGATGGTGAGCTCTCTGGGAAGTTCTATTCTTCCCTTACAAGAGTCTCAGTGCTGCTTGGAGATAATGGCATGCAAAGAGAAGTATTTCTATGCCACAGGCATGCCAGCATCCTTGTCTGTAAAATTTCACTCATCTGAGCATTTGTGTGTGGCAGGGGCTTAGTGTTCAAAAACTAGACATTAGGGGCTTTGAAATGGCATAAGCCAGAAGTGAATTTTCTTTTGCAGTGGATGGAGAACGATGTTCTGCTGAACATGTTCATACACAACTCTGACAGCACTGTTAGAGTGTTACTTAACCAGGCAATCTCAAATCTCTTGTGATATCCGTGAGAAGCAAGATTTGTATTTAAATTAATTCAATAAGATGTCATAAGACAAAGAAAACAGGATCTGCCTCTCAGTTGCAGATGTCCACCATGTAGATGATGACATTTCAATTAGTTACTCATCCTCCAGTAGTCAGGGGAAAGAGAGAGGCCTCTCTAGAATATGATTCACAACACCTTTTAGAATGTCTACTTTAGGATGAAATTAATCAAACCTTAAAAAATTTTAATTCCGTTCT